AGCAACTGCAAAAGCAGATTGAAAATACCAAGAAGCGTTTTGAAGAGCAGGTACAGCAAAGCCAGCAAAAGGAATACAGTGAGGACGTTCGTGAAAAGCAGGAAGAAGTAAAAAAGCAATTGGACAACCTGCTGAACAATGAGCTGAAAGAACAAATGAAGAAGCTGGAAGAGCTGATGAAGCGGTTGAATAAAGACAATGCCTTCCAGACAGCACAACAGTTGGAGCAAGAGAATAAGCTCTTTAATATGGATCTGCAACGGATGCAGGAGCTGATGAAGCAACTGGAAATGCAGATGCGCATGGAAGACCTGGCCAATAAGCTGGATAAGCTGGCCACACAACAAGGTGATCTTAAAAAAGCAACAGACAATAAGCGGAAGGAAAGTCAGGCACTCAGTAAGGAACAGAAAGACCTGAAGAAGGAACTGGATAAGACGATGAATGAAGACATGAAGGAACTAAAAGACCTGAATGACAAATCGCAGAAAAAGCAGGACCTTGATGATAGTAAGGAGGCGGGGCAGAAAGCGCAGCAGGATATGCAGAAAAGCGGTGAAGAGCTGGATCAGAACCAGAACAGCAAATCCAGCCAGAGTCAGAAGCAAGCCCAGGAAAACCTGCAAAAAATGGCCGACGATCTGCGCAAGCAAAGCGGCGGCATGGACCAGAAGCAGATTGAAATAGATATAAAGGCCACACGCCAATTGCTCACAAATCTCATTCGCCTCTCCTTCGACCAGGAGAAGCTGATGGACAATGTAAAGCATACCGCTACTTCCAGTAAAGAATACCTGGTGAATCAGTCGGAACAAAGCCGCCTGCATGGCAACTCCCAGATGATACGGGATAGTTTGTTTTCACTGAGCAAACGGGTGTTTAAACTAGCGCCCACCATCAATAAAGAGACCACAGACCTTGAGCGGCAGATGAAGGCGGCAACTTCCTCGTTGGAAAGTCGCATGAATATGGATGCGCTGGTGAAGCAACAATATGTAATGACGCATACCAATAACCTGGCCCTGATGTTGAATGAGTTGCTGAGCAACCTGATGCAGATGCAAAACCAGGCAAAACAGCCAGGTAGCGGATCGTGCAGCAAGCCGGGTGGGATGAATCCCAAGCCGGGCGCCGGTGC